CGCGTGTCAACCCGTCACTTCCCAGGTGCTGGACTGAAGCCCCGCACGCTGGTAAAGTTGGAATTTCACTTCTGTCAGGGCGGCACCTTGGCATGGACAGAATCAGATTGCGGCACAGACATCACAATATGTTCATGATATCGTGGCAATGTTTGTTTATCACTTTCGAGCTCAGAGTTGACCGTGACATAGCACAACACACAATGCCACAGGATATCGTGAGATATCTGAGAGCTGAGATCCGCCTCCAGGCCACGGCATGCAGTTCCAGAACCTCATCGTCACTGGGGTCAAGGGACAAGCCAAAAATCTGGGTGCTCGGATCTCAAAAGGTAGCCAAAAGCTACGCTGGAAAGACGTGAATTCAAAATATTTCGAAAATGTATCACAACGTGGAACCTGACCTGATCTTGGCACCATGACAAGTCTTTCTTCTATCTCATCTATCCTACCTCTCCTACCTCTCCTTGTGCTCTGTGAAGCGGTCCTGAAAGATCTGATTGCGACAGGTATCAAATCCATCACTTTTGTGAACTTCACACTATCAGTCACTATCAATTTGGGTCCGACGAACCCAGGTCCAGATTGGCTGGCGGGTTTACATGATTGACGGAGACATCATGGACAGTCCCACCCAGGTGGAATGGAGAGCTCGGGAGATCTCGGGAGTTCTAGGAAGGTTTTTTCGGAGGTCTCGGGAGGTCTCGGCTTTGGCGTCAGGTCTGGCAACGACTCCAGGATGCTCAGTGGCAGTGGAGGACAACTGCTCCATGATTTCGCAGATTCCAACGCAGCTGGAGATGCTCGATGTGTCACACTGTTACATGTTGTTACACGTTCTGCCCCTTGAAACCGTTGAAACGGACACATCGGACTACTGTCAACTTTGCAGAGGACCGTCACTGTCGTCTTTTTCACCGACTACAGGTGCACACCTGTGATAAGATGTGATTCAGTGATAGATGCACATGTGTACAGGTGACCATACTGCAGTGCATTTTGCACACAGGCACAGATATGACAGATCTGTGTAATTCTGTGTATACAATTGATGTTCATGGGTGTTCCAAGGAATGAACAAGCGGATGCAAAAACCATCAAGGGCTTTTTCATTTATTTGTCAAGCGCTTGTTGATTTGGTTCATTCAATGTCCATTTGTTTGTTTTTACTTCATCCATACATCCCCATGTATGCAAGTACGTAAATGCATGTAATTGCTTTGCACGTATTGCTCTACGTTACCTTGCCTACCGTGACAGGAGCAGCTTGTAGATAGCTTCGCACAGTATATATGTATATGTATGGGATCAGGGAATATTCGGGCCCTTTGGAAGTAGCATCAAACCATGACAGTAGGTATTTCTATTTTATACCTGCGACAACATCCTCATATTCAGGTTTGACTTACAAAGCTCATCTAGGATCCAGCTTGTACGGCGTGGGTTGGAACACTTCATTCTTTGCTTAGACAACAAGGCCACCTGCATTTAGTAATGACTTTTGTCGAAATAGCAGGTGGCACACATGTGACTGGAATAAGAAGTGGAGTTTCATGGAGTTTCCAAAGGCAAGTCAAACAAATGTATGTAGAACATGTAGAAATGAAACGTTTCATTACGTGGACATTGCATCCCCATGTTATTGATGTGCAAGCATGAAGACTTGTCATGGATAGGTGAGATGGGACCTTCGCATGGTTTTGTGGCATTGGATTTGATGTTTATGGTTTGCCAGGCGATGTAAGCAAAGAGTCGTCTTATAAGCTTGGTTTCTATCAAAGTGTATCTATATATATATGTGTGTGTGTGCATTTATATATATATATACATACATATATATATATATGTATATATATACGTATATATTGAGTTTGAGTTTGATTTGTTGGATTTTGCTTGCATGGGTTGATTGACAAATTTGTTCAGTTTACTGACCTTGGTTTTAGATGCAAATATTTGAGATAATGTGAAACTGTGAAACTGACATTTGTTAGACCATCTTGTTACCTGGATGAGGGAACTGTGGAACTGAATCGAGTATGATGCAAAACATTATAAAAACACTTCCAGGGGGCATGGTTTCCAATATTTTACATATATTTTACAATATTTTACATATATACGTGTACGGTCGTGTACATATGTTGTTTTTCTTATGTGTTTGCACATAAATGTATATCAGCCATAGTGCAGACATACTGTGCTGAGTAATTCTGCTACATTGAATAGCAATACCTCATTATAACAAAAATAACAAATGGAGCTTTAATTGAGATACGCACATTTTGGTATCTGTAAGTACGAAGAAATCAGCTCCATTATATCGTGGTGGATACACACGTACTGGTAGGTTCTTCAAGGGATCTCGTTACTCGATGATCGTATCAGGGACCCCCTCTTTCCATAGTGCTGGCCCCGTTGCTATTCTAAGGTCCGTATAGTTTTTGAAGATGAACAGTACTTTCTGAGAACGTATCCACTGCTTTTGATGCTTCAAAATGATAAGGTCCGCAGTCCTTGTAGACAAACAGTACTTACAGAGAGCATGTCCACCATTTTTGTGCTACAAGCTGCTAAGGTCATTAGTTGTTGAAGAAGACAAGTCCTTACTGACAGCGTATCTCCGCTGTTTGGAGCGAGGTTTAATCTAGAGATATCGATAGCAACAGATATCGAGACAAAGTCGAGAACCAGCGGACTCGACACAGGGCCATCCGCATGGAGGAAAAGATCAAGGAAGAAGAAGAGGAACGCCGCGAGGTGCCGCACCAGATTCCAGTCCGAAACGTGGACAGAAAAGGACTAAAAAATGGCCCATGAAAATTTCAACCGTTTTTTGAACTACATTGACCTTTGCTTTGACGTGTTGACGTGTACATGTGTGTGTGATGCATTTATGATGCGTGACATTGTGGGACATTTTGTCAAACAGCTTTTGTCAGATTTAGTCAGGTGGAGCGGCTTGCGAAGTTGCCCTTCACCAGCACCTCCGATGAAAAGCACTTGGAGCAGCTAAAACAGGAACGGGACGAGCTGCCTTGATCCGCAGCTTTGATTTCTCCCAAAGATGCAGTTATACGCAGACCTTAAAGTAAACCTTCTTATAATTTGCGTACTTGTAATTTGTACATCAATTCTGAGTTACCTTAGAGTCCTAAAATGATTTCTATGGAGCCCCTTGTGCCTCAGGAGTTTGTCTTCCAAGCGTATATCGAACGTGTCGAGGTGAGAATGCTGATTTGCAGCTTCAATGGTACCGCAGTGCTCTCCGCACACGAAATCTGAGAAGTGCTGGAATAGCTGAGTGGTTTCTGTTGACTTGGATTTAGCTGCCACGTTTGTGCCACGTTTGCGCCACGTTTGTGCCACGTTTGTGCCACGTTGCTACGTGTGTTGCTTTTCTGCCCCAGGATCGTGCGATTACTTTGCAGCAGCTGCTCCGCGTCGTCGACTTCAGCAAGGAAATGGGACCACTGAAAAAATGCTGGTGTCCATATAGAAGCCATGCAGAAGCCATGCAGAACCTCAGGGACAGAGATGAACAGAGCCCGTTGAACGCAAAAGATTTGAAAGATATTGGAAGATCCTTTAGAGATTCAGTAGCGCTGTTCAACTTTGAAGAGAAAGACAGGCAAGTTGTGTTTATGCAGTGAACAAGGGGAATTGGCACATGCCAACAAGAATGCAAGTGCTCCGCAGGTACTACTCATAGGCCAGCAGCATGCTGATAGGCATGACCATGAATAGGTTCAATCAAACAAGCCACAGGATGTGCAAACCCCCCTCCTCAGTTCCCTCATTTGGACGCACTTTTGGTGAGATATGAAATGATCTGACTGCACAACAACATGGCAATTTCCTTCCTCAGTCATGGTCTGTATCGGGAGTCATGAAGTGCAGCATGACACCAGCGACACAAAGTCGCTTGTATATACCTCCTGTAGCTTTTCTCCAAAGGACGAAGATAATTTTGGGGTTTTCCCAGTGACAGTGAATTTGCCGAACATGTAGTGTACAGGCCTTCCACAGCTGCAGTTTTGGTTCAATCTGCTAGACTCTCTGGCACGGAGAAGCTCAACTATGTCTGCCGAGTGGGAGGTCGTTGGTGCAGCTGCACAGATGAAGGCTGTACCTTGACATGGTGAAGTCTTGAGGAGTCGCATTTTGGGCCACAAAGGATGTACTGAGGTCCGTTGACCAGTGGTTCATTTTGGTCCATTTGGCTCAGCAGAACTTACTTGGTGTGTCTCTTGTAGGCGGGAACTTTGACCGATCCGATGTCAGAACTTTCGGACTGGAAACTATCATAAACTCAGGTCATGGACTTTCTGGACAACAAAGGCCTCGGTAAGTATGCTGAAAAGATCATTGAAGTCACAGATGCTGCTCGGCACGGGGAATAACAGCGCTTATCCCCCAGTGAACCCCCTTCCTAGTTTCTTGCGCAGGGATGTATTGATCAGGACTGAACCATTTGAACAGAAGGATAGTTTTCCCGGTATCCTGTTCTAGCTGGACGACTAGATTCACCTTTTCAAGTCGTTTGACTCGCAAAACCTCGCTTCCACATTCTTCCAAACTTCTTCAAGGAAGTGCTTTAGCTAGCTCTTTGTGTTACGTTGCTTGTTCAAGTTGTTCAAGGCTCCTCCCCTGATTTGTCTTTGTTTCGGTTTGTTTCCAAAAGTTTCTGTTTTACTGTTGACGGCAAGGTTGCATCCCTGGATGACTTCAAGATGATTGACGCGCAGATGGCCGAAGAAATCATTCAGACATTGCAATTGCTGCTCGGTGCCAAGCAGCCCCAAGATGAAACGAAACCGCCACTTCACGGACAAGACTCACATGTTCCAACAGCCCTAACATGTTCTCACATGTTTTCGACGGTAAAGTTTGTGTGTTTCTTTGTGTTTCTTTGTGTTGCTTTGTGTTGCCTTGAGAACGAGCCAGTGTTGGCAGGAAGCTGGTGTCGGCCCAGAAGCTGCGACAAGCCGTGGCAGAGGCCCATGGTGCCCGTGGTGCCTATGGTGCCAGCGAGGCGTTGGCCTGGTATCATCATGCAGTTTTGCTGGTGCAACAGTAACGCACGTAAGCGTTGCCCGGTTCCCCTATTTTGTAAGTGACAACAATTTTTGACGTGAAAACTCTTCGGACTTTGTGCTCTTGGGAGGGGATAGAGAAGGGAGAGGCTCAGACAATTTGGAGCAATCTTAGCTTGCGCCTGTCAACGCTATCTCAGGCAGATTCCTGGTGTGCAATCTCTGAGGCGTGCCGGGTAACGAATGGCGGGAGTGGGGAGCGGAGGCTCTGAGGGACCAAGATCATGAAACGGGAACACATAACAAAATCCACTGGGATAGTGTGGGACACAGAGCAAGTTGTTGCACTTTTTGCACTTTTCAGAGACTGCCGATCCATGTTGATCCATACTTCACGGACATTCACAGACTCTCGGCACGTTCGACACTTTCGGCACTGAGGCGCCACCCGCGCCGTCCGCACCGGCCGCGTCCACCGAAGCGGCGACCTGCGCTGCCGAGGCGCCCGAGGCACCCGAGGCCGAGTCGCTGGAGTCGCTGCAGGAAGTCATTGCAATTTGCATCGACCGATCAGGACTGGACCCGACACTGCAACACCATGCAACACCTAAATCATCTGACCATGACATGCCATGACCACGTCCAAGTTTGTCGTGTTTGTCGTGTTTGTTATGTTTGTCATTGTTTTGTCTGCATGCCTGAGAGTTCATGATTTGACATGCTTTGACTGTGTGTATTTTTGCCAGCGTTTTGTGCATGCTTGGTTTGAATTCAAAGAGATTGTTGGCAAACATGAGTCTGAAAACCTCTTGTGAGAATCAGCCACAACATAAGCAGTGAAGTGACCGTGTCAATTGCACTGAGTACATGTGCGTCAGGTTATTGGACTCTGAGGTATGTGACGTACAGTCGCATAACTTCCTACTTTAATGATGGGTTGACAGTTCGTTTTTTCAAATTTCAGTACGCGCAAGGATCCATGGGAACACCCTTCGCAGAGGTCACATTGAACGTTGTGAAAGGCAGCTGAAGGTTTTCTGTCAGCTTGCAGTGAACACAGTTCGAGTGTCGCATGTCCTTGTTTGACAATGTCTTGGGCAGTAACTTTGCAAGAAATAATTTAGCCCAACTTTATCAAAGGAGGCCTGACTGTGGATCTCATTATGATCTCATTTCGGGCGCATCATGACCATTAAAGGAGGAAATCCAAACAAAACATATCAAAATGATATTTGAAGATAAGCATCACAGATACATACAGACGCTAACATATGCTACTGGGTTATGCTGATTATGCTGCATGTTATCATCGTTATCACTAGTTATCACCTTTATCTCACAGACCTCACAGATTGCATTTGCTTTTGGGATCACCACACCACAGCATTGGAGGTGAGACGAAGGATTCAGTAGCGCAGCGCACTCGAATGGAAGCTGTCAAGGCTGTGGCCACGGGAGGTTGGGGAGAGAAAAATGCAGTCGAATGAGTGGAGTCGAATTTCAGTCGAATCAAAGGTGATCGAGGTCTGAGCTCGAGCTGCTCGTAGAGCTGCAGTTTGCTGCAGTTTCAATGTTGCCATATCTTGCCATATCTTGCCATATCTTGCCACATGCCATTCCCCTTGAGGCCATGTTCTATGCCTTCAGCACCTTGGCTGTGAAAATGTTGGCAAAGTTTCTGAAGCACAGTGGCACATTGTCAGTTTCTGTGGGCGATGTGGCAATGTCATGATGAGAAGGAAAGGAAGCAACAAAAGATGCTCTTAGGACACTTCAGGATGTTGAAGCCATTGGTTTGATTGAGAAGAAGTGTACCCTTGGCCCTCAGGAGATCGTGTGGAGAGCATTGGGAATGATAAGTGCCTTAGCAGTCTTAGCAGTCTTGGCAGTCTTAGCTGCTCTCTGAAAACAACCCATGCTAGCAACTGATCAGTTACTGCCATTTCATTCTTTCGTATCAAAATTTGACATCCCATGACCTCATGCCGGCTTGGTGAACAAGCAACTTTGACAGTGCTACAAAGGTATCACCTCGGCTTGCTTCAATTCGATGACAAGGTGGAATGCCTATTGGATCCTCGGAAAAACGTAACGTCAAGGATCATAAATTCCATAGATTCATGACCTTGACGATAATGACGATACATCTAACTCATCTACAATGGAATTCATGACGTGTCTGAGCCATTCTGAGCCGTAGTTTCCTGCTGTTTCGCTCTGAGGACACCACCCCCTGCTTGGACCGTTTTGAAGCCGTGGTGGATGACATGAAGAAACGCGGTCAAACGGCCATCTACTCGTCCATCGTGGAGGCTACAAAGATGTTGCAGTGACTTGACATTGACATCGCTTCGATCCCTGGATCAATCCCAAGTGGATCTAGCCGAATTGCCCAGAAATTCCATGGAAAGAAAAGAGAGTCAAGGTCTCGTCAGCGTGAGCAAAACAGAAGCCACGGCTGGGAGATGTTTGAATATGTTTGAATTTAACCGACACCAGAAAAGCACCTAAAGTTGCTGGAAGTGAGCCGTAGAGAGATTGAAATCAATCATGCTTCAGAACTAATCATAACAAATCGTGCCAGCATTGAGCACGAGAGGAAACGGTTTCAGAAGATCCGTATGGATCGTGTAAAGCCAATATGGCCCAAATGCAACTCGTCGTCGCTGAGGAAATATTTCACACCTGACTCAAAGGTGGACTTGCGGGTCTTGGTCCTGACAGACGGTGTCTTGGCGAAAAAATTGGTCTCGGCAAAGCGGTGTTCTCTTCACTCAGGTATCTCAGGCTATCAGGTTGGATTTGTGGCAGTTGCGCTCCCTTCACCATATGGACTCCTTCTCTCCCCTCTCGGCGCCATTTTTCAAGGTCAAAACAACTCGGGCGTTTCACCTGAAGCGGCCTGCGAAGCAGCAAACGCGATTGGAGCTGTAGTGGATGCTCCCTGGCAGGGGGCAGATTTGAATGTGACTTTCTGATATGATATCTATATAATATCACCATGTGTGTGTGTGATGACTATATGTATATGATATATTGTAAATCTATATGGTATGCTACTTGACTTGTTCTTTTCATATTTCTTCTCCAACGTCCAATGTCTTGCCAACGTCTTTCGGTCTCAATCTGAAACACATTGAAAACGCATGAGTCACCACGGTGACCACAGTGTGTCGAGGCTATCCTGGTGGGGCACAGCCCAGACGCGGATCTGCGGCGCATCGTCACAGCCACAGAGGGCCAGTGCTTTTCCATCTCTCACCTTGGAGAAGGCCACTTCGATGCGATTGACTGTGTGTGTTTTGGAACTGGCATGGGAATGTGGTGCAAAGCATGGCGATGCGACGCATTGTACCGTATATCAATGTATATCAGTGTATGCACTGTGACGGATTTAACGTGCCAGTTATTGAGTCTTGTGTGGTACCTTTCAAGTATCTAGTATCTCATACATTTTGGAAACGTTGGGAAGCGACTTGAAGTGACACTTGCAGCTTTGCCCAAACTTTTGCCCCTTTGCAACCGTGTTGCCGTGAGGTTTCGAGCTCTTGGAATCTGAAGCAGTAGTTTCTTTGAAGGCTCGCCGCGGAGGAGCTGAGAAGCCACCCTTCGTACCACGCCAGGCACGAGATTCTGATATACGATTCTGTTGCTAAAAGATGATAAAGATGCCAAGAGATTCAGATGAAGTTATTTGGATAAAGGCTTAGTCTACACAAAAGATTCATCACTGACTCACAGTGACAATGTCGATTTTTGGTCGGAAATGCCTTGTGCATTTTGCCACTTACAGAGCCACACCAGGTGGACTTCCGGGCCATTGCGCAGCGCGAAATCATCCAAGGCTCCAACGTGCCGCGTGTCAACGATTCCACCAAGGACGCGAATGCCGCGAAGGGCTCGAAGGGCGCGAAGGGCGCGAAATGTGTTTGTTTCCAACGCATGTTCTGTTAAGTTTTTAGGTTTGGGCTATGTGGCACATGCATATGACACAGAACCAATTTCCATTTCACCTTAGACATCGACATCAGGATAGACGGATAGACAGAGATGAAGTGCCATGAAGGATCGGGAAAGACCAGGATGTATGTGATGTGTTCGCGACATGTTCGCGACGTGTGACACCAGGAACGTTACGCAGGTGCAAAGGTGCTGTCCTTGGCATCGGTGGAGAGCTGCAACAAGGCTTGGAGATGCAGAGTTGTCCAACATATCTGAAAGATCGTCTTGCGTGTACGTCGTATGTCCCACATGTGTCTTATGTGTGTGAGTGTGGGTGTGTGTGTGTGTCGTAGGGATCTAGCTGCTGAATTTGATTTGGAATTACCTTTTGACACTTGACCAGCTGGCATTGCCAACTTCTGCAAAGAAATAGCACGCCGCTCAGTTTCTATTCTTAAGAGCTCTTATGGTTCATGTTTCCAGGTTACTCAAAGGTATTTGTTTGATTTCGATGGATGAGCCGCAGTCCCATCCATGGCATGGCAGAGGCTACTCCATTGGGGCCTGGTGCTGTGAAGCGAGTCTTGTCGGAGTTGAAACAACTTGGTGAGTCTTCCGCCCGTGGCATCCATATCTTTCCTTCGGTTGCTTGACCAAATTTGACCACGCCATGCGCGGCATCAAGTCAAAAACTTCTTCGAGTTGATCGAACCGGTCTGGTCACAATGTCCCAAAGATTTCTCAAGAACTCAAAAACGTGCAAAGGGGGGCTGTGCGAGTTGTGCTGCTTGAGAGTTGACAGGAAGACATCAGCTTTTGGCGCGTGCTGTTGGAAGGGCATCCTGACAGCCCTTTCGTGGGCGGCATTTTCGCCGTGGACATTGTGTTGCCGAGACTTGGCGACCCACTGGTGAGCGGCCGGTGTTTTCTGATGCTCTTCACGTGCTCTTCACGTGCTCTTCACGTGCTCTTCACATGCTCTTCATGTTGGTTTCTCACGTCGGTTCCTCATGTTCCTCTTGGACGTTTCATGCTTTGGTGTATTTTGGCACCATGTTTGCTTGAAGATGTGTAGGTTTTAGTTTGAGGTTGAAGCCAATTCCAACACGAAGTTTCGCAATCACCAGCCGCTGCTAGGAACGACTATCCTTTTAAGCCTCCCAAGATCAACTTCCACACCCCGATCTATCACTGCAACGTGAACACGAATGGCGCCATTTGCGCCTTGGACAAAGCTCGAGGTTTCGCATTGATTTTTGATGTTGATTGCCTAGTGCATGACCATCTTTGAATTTCACTTTCTTTTTGCATAGGGGCGTTACCTTCCGCTTGCGCTTGTGGGAATTCTACCACATTTCGACAGTGTTTGGATGGTACTTGTGCATGTGCGCAGTTGGAAAAAGATGAGCAAAGTGGTAAAACAAGTCTTTTGAAAGCACTTTGAGGTCTGGATATCCTGAAAGATTCATGGAGTCCTTCGCTGAGCGTCTTCAAATGTTTGGAGTCCATCCGGGCTTTGATGGCGGATCCCAACCCAGACGATGCGATGAGACAATGGATTGCCGCACCTTGGCTCAAAACAAGTCACCAATGTATATGACAAATTTGACCAGAGCAGCTTGATTCGATTACCCTCAGTGATTTCGATGTCATTCAGTCAGCGATTTCTCGATTTCTCACACAGTGAAGTCACTGTGACTGAGTGGGTCCAGGAACTCACCTTGGCGCATAAGCCGCTCGGAATCCGTTTCGCAAGTCGTGCAAGTTGTTCGAGCAGAAGCACTGTACGGCCAACGATGCCATCAAATGAATTTTCATGGATGCGTGTTTCATGGATTTGGGTTTTCTGCAATTGATATGTCTTGTTTGGGCACGATTTGAACGAGGCAGAGCAATGGAGCGGACACCCGATACTTTGACCAGGCTCGAGAAAACACAGCGAAGGACGCCAGTCTGGACATCGATGCTCGGCATATTTCGGATAGGGAAAATGGCCTGATGGACCAATTCGGAATCCCCATCAAAAAAGCCCATCAGAAAATAGTGCTTCTGAGGCTGATCGACAAAAAAGAAACGACTGGTTTTCTTTTCCGGCGAAAAAATCAATGTCCAAACTCTCCGTGTTTTGCCACAGCGCCGCAGCTCAGGAAGGTTGGAAGGCCAAGTGGGGAATCCAATGAGCAGTTGCCGGAATGAGATCTTGCAGCGACTGCAACAATTCGACAGATGAGTGCGTGCAACTCTGATTTACTTGAAAATCATCACTGAAAAATGTTTAAAGCCATGGCAAATCCGCCCTTTGGCACTTGCAGCAGCCAAACCAATCTGTACAGATGTGGAAATGCCAACCTGACAAAAGGGGTGACAGAGTGGCATATGGATTCCTTGCTGTTGATGAAGTTAGCATGGAATGCAGACATAGATTGCTGTCAAGAGTTGGTGTTGAATGATACGCACCCAAAAACAGACAATGACTGGGGGCAAGGTGCTCCTTCGCAAGGGTCGAAACACTTTCATAGAGAATTCGAAATGCAGCATCAACTGAGCATCAACTGACTGTTCTCAAGGAGCATCAACAAGTTCTGACGTTTTGCTCAGTTTCTCCATCCAGGAGCATTGTCACCGGTGGCGAGACACTCGACCTGTCTTTATGTCAAAGAGTGCTGGCTGAAGACTCAGCTCAAGGGCACCAAGGTGCACAGCGCTTTTCTTCAAGGCGTCCACAGCTGGCACAGGAGTAACTGGCGTACACCATATATATTGGCCACCTGCAAGACAAGCAGAGAGGTGATAGCAGATCCGAGCACTGGGGGAGGTCGTGTCAGCTGGGGACAGCTGGGGACAGCTGGAGAGCTGGGGACAGCTGACATAGAGAACGCATGAAAGAAGGGGCACTTGGACAGTTCCAAAAGCTGTCACTTCTGGACATCTGAGGTCGAAAACTGCACATCGACTTCATGAACTGGTGCTGCTCTGAGAGGAAAGCAAAGACAAAATTGCCTCACAGCAGACACTGCGTGTAGACTGTGTTGATAGACTTTGTCGATGTCTGTCGATCTCTGTGGATCTCCCTCTGTCTGCAGACTGACAAAGCTCAAAGATGTCTTACCGATTTCAAAGGCAGTTCCAAGACTGAAAGGTTTGATCGAAAAGACTAGTGACTGGAATCTCGATTTCACTCAGCGACTGAGAGGACTCAGACTGTCTCAGACTATAACGTCAAAGTACAGCGCCAGTCCTTCTCCAGGTGTCATTTGGAAGCCTGGTTGGTCAGTCGTGCCCCAAGGGGATGGGACATGAGTTCCACCGAGTTCTGAGTGAGGCAAGTTGACGCTATCCAGATCATCTATATGACAAATCAATACTAATTTCAGATAATCAATACTAATCATCATCTACATGTTCCATCATGTTTCCACATGTCAACATGGGTCTCTTTAGACATAGGTCGCCCAGAAGCCCTCATGGTTTGAAACTTTATCCCCGTGCAGCGGAAGTATCACCATGGACCAGCGGTGCTATCAGGACCCGCCACTGCGGAGAAGGACTGTTCGCTGCTGGAGATGTTGACCAGTCAGGAGCAGGTGAGCCGCAGGATCCGGCGGCAACATATACCGACTCAATGGCGACTCAATGGCGACTATGGTGTACCCATTGACATCATGACATTAATGGGTACACCATATTTTGACTATTGGTTTGATTCACGAAATATCCAGCGTTTGAGAATTTGTGATCCTTGGGGAGTGTGTTGGGATTTGTTTTGACTTGAGTTTTCTTATTGCTGGTGCATCAACAGTGCAATGCAGCTGTCACCGGCACAGCCTCCGGCCTTCTACCTCATCCACTACTGGGGAGATTTGGTCGACATCTCAGACATAAAGCTGCCACCCGTCACACTTGGCACGCTTGACACCTTTGACACATTTGGCACATTTGGCTGCATATGTCGGTATTTGTATACCGTTTTGTTTTGCATACATATGTCAAATACACATGCATACTCTACCTATGTAATTTACATGTAAAATACACGTAGTAATAGTATACTGTATGTAGCTGTTGCAAAGTCTAATGTAATGCAATGCAATGCATGCATGTAAGTATGTATGTAAATAAATATATACATATATATTCTATTATATATACATGTTATGCAACTATGTATGTATGCATAAGCTATGCAATACACAAATACACTGCCCCCGATTGAGTGATGACGATGATGATGACGATGATGATGATGCAGTTGATTTGGTTTCCTTATTTCAAGACTTGCATGGCTACTCAGAGAGAGAAGAGGAACCAATGAAGTGGGAGTTTGTCAGGTTCTGAAACCCGCACAAGAATTCAGACTGGCTGCGAGTGCATGGTTTGGAATGCATTTACAAACTTTATATATATTCTTAAGTTTTTGGCAAGTTCGGGATTGGGATTGCGTGTTGTCTTGGATTTTGGTATGCTTCCGGCAGAAGTCCTCGTGTCCATCCAGGTGCTGAACCTGATCGATGCAATCCGGGTTCACATGCAGAGCAGGAATTTGGATGCTTGGTTGGCTTGGCTTGGTTAGCTCGGTTAGCTTGGATCTGAAACTTTAGGGCCAGGTGATGGTCCAAACCATGTTTCAGATGTGTAACACGGCAACCGCAATGTTCCAGAGTTTTTGTAGCTTCAAATAGTGAAACACCAAAGCTCTTGACCTTTCGCGGAACATGATAGAACTACATTTAGGTTGGATACTCCCACTGAGTAGGACTAGCGGTGAGTACAGGACTTCCATTGTCGCCGAGCTCTGCACCGAGGAAGAGACTACGACCTATTGGATGGGGCTTTTTGCCAATCGACCACATTCCTTGCAGGACGACAGAGTGACACAGATTATTTTCAAGAACCTGCTGAAATTCAATGAATCGAACAAGTTTGGATGTGGGTTTCACAAGCTCATTCCATACGGTTCCATGATCAAGGCACGGTACAAGAGAATCGAAAGTTATTTGATCAGTTTGATATAGTTTGATCTTCTGGGCATTTTTCCCGACCAGTGTCACCCAACATGGAGGATGCATTTTGCCCAGAGCTGAAGTCCACATGCTTCCACAAGGCGCGCGCGCGCGCCCCGTGGGAGACAAGGATCATGGGGATCATGGATCACCATGGATATCCATGGATCACCGACAGGCCTTCGCCTAAGGCCTTGCCAATTGGAAGTGACTGTGAAACGCAACGCAGGCCATGGCAGCCTGCAACTTCAAAGTGGTGCTACCCATCGCCAGCGTCCCAGAGACTCCCAGAGACTCCCAGAGACCCCAAAAACACCGTTCCTGGCAGAGACAATTAGCAATTGAAAAATGTCAGAGCGAAACTGCGTCAGAAAGTGCTGGCATTCAAGTCTTGGCCCTTCAAAAATTTAGCTGAACTGCGACAATTCTGTGGCAGTTCTGTGACATGTGTTGGCTGCCATGCCATGCCAGCGCCGCCACGGTCCTCACAGGACCCACAGACCACAACTTTGATGGGCACCTGCTTTTCGCGCCTGTGGTACCTTGATTTGCATAATTGCTCAGCAAGAAACACGCATAACACCTGATTGCTGGCTTTTTTCCACAATTTGGGGACCGTGTTGACTGCGTTGAGACAACCTCTTGCAGGTTCGGTAGTGCGGATAGCTTTTAATGTCTTGTCAACTTGGTGAGTGTGCAAAACTTCTCATGAATGGTGACTCTAGCTATCAGATGCTATGAGAGTGTGCTGATGAAAGAAATGACTGTAGAGGGTGGCAGAGCTACAGGATGAGATTAAAAGCGCACAGCTTTTGACTTGGTGCTTTGATGTCTTTAGTAGTTTGTGGCCAGTACCGAATTTGTTGCTTTCAAAGTTAGGACATGTTTCAATCTAGTTTCAACGAGTTTTAAAACGCTCTGAGGTGCTTGTATGAACTGGCCATGTGTTGGCGGCTCAGAAACGAGGGTGGGGTTCTACAGTGCTTCAGTGGCTGTGGTGCGATTGCCCGCTACTGCCAGTATGAGGTGACCAGCCCAATGTTCAGCTGGACCTGATTCAAACCAAACTCGATATGCATTCGCCTGTGAAGAAGACGTGTATGGTGTGGAAGCCAAGTACTGACTTGCATGATGACTAGGAGAACCTATATAGAAGAATGGGGGCTGAGGTTCATGGAGGTTTAGTATGCTGAGCCCTTCTTTATGCCTTGCTGTTTGAGCAGAGCTGAAACCAACGCTCATTGCATCCCACACAACCCACGAACCACATCCAACGAGGTGTCACAGCTTCTGACGAAGGAGGAGCAGGAAGCGGAACTGAGAGCACCCACCTCTGGCTACAAGGCCCCTGGGTGCAAACGCGCAGCTAACATCAGCTAGTCACTGCCTTCACATAGTCCGACACAGTCTAACACTACAGTTGACACTACAGTTGACACTACGCAACGGCACACAATCAGAACGGAGGCCCAAAGCGACAGGGAGAAGTCCTTCAGCTTGACGACCATGGACATGGCTCTCAGTGTTTGCAGCCTCAGGAGCCTGCAGACATCTGCAGACATTTGCAATTGATGAGTTTGAGTCAGTTTGAGTCAACTCTGCAAGATGTTACAGAAGTTACACGTCATTGCACTTGGTGCGTTCAGGTTTCTGTGGCAAAGGCTCAAATCACAAGCCCTACAGAGCGTCGGCAGATTCTGTGTCTCAACTGCAAAGATGTTGAAACCGTGGGTCAGCTGATTGGACTGTGACTCTTTGAGTGGCTCTGCGCTGTGACTCTTCCAGACTTTCGGGGAGGATGTGACGTCCTTGCCTCACCAAGGAACAGTCTTTGTCACCGGGATGCATCAGAAGAGGTGAGGAAATGTTTGAATGTTGAAGCGCACTTCGAAAAATTGGGAAATGACAAATAAAACATTTGAATAGATTTGAATACGCTACACATTTCACACAGAAATTCCGTTTCAGAGTTTCGGTGTGACTCGTCTTCGGCCGCTTTGGGGTGAGCCTTGGTCTTCCCAAAAATTGACAAAAACTGTTACAGTAACAAAACTGTGTGTTTTGATCCAAGACTCCAAAGGTATATGAACTCATAGCAGTGCTAACCACCTCTTTGTCATTTGCCGGAAAGGCATTTGAGAGTGATATCATGCGGTACTGAAATTGCCAGCGCAGGTAGTTGAAGAGCTGGAGTTCTCAGCTGGAATTTGGTGAGCTTCTCCTACGTTACACGTGAAGATCAGGAGATCTCAGTGGATATCATCAAGAAACAACAGTCTCAGTTCCCAGAATAGATTATCAGTGTATTCTCAATACATTATCATCAGTATACACACTGCATATTGTCAATATATCAGAGTTCTCACAGGTATCACAATGGAGAATCAGGGCCTGTGAGCCTTTGAACTGCACTCTGAGGCACCCTGAGATTGGGCAGTGCTCCAAGCGTTTGCGTGCGCTCTTTGCCTTAGCCTTTTGGCGCTTGGAAGCTCAGAAGGGCTCCGATTCGCTTCAATCCGTACTATTTGGTCGCGCATCACGTTGCGACTGTGGATTGCATAGATATGCATAGATACATTCTGTAAGAGTGGATTTTGGAACTCTCCAGATTTGCCAAGAGTTTCCCTATATTTTGGACATGGCCGTGTAGGCAGTGTAAGCCGTGTCTGAGGTCGAGTGATGGGCGGCAACGTCAGCGACAGCGATGTTCACCGGACCCAGCTGAAATTGGTGACTCGGCGTCAGAGTCAGACTGCCTTGTTGCTGTGTTGATGACAGTATGACATTATTTGTGACATAACAATAGCATGGTGCCACGATGTGTCACGTGTCATTTTGTCATAGGGATGTCATCTCTAAAAGGAAAGGGCTGCCTTGCATCTCCAAGTCCCGCGAGGTAGATGCATTGCATAAAGGTTTCCCTCATAGATGCTTGGAACTCGACATGGCTTTCATGCAAGGCGTGTCCTGCATAAGACGTTGATGTTGATAGAGCCATAGGTTTTTCAGTTTTGTCAGGACAACACCCAGTTTTGCAGTATAGGCAGTACACCCCAAGCGGTTGAGGTTGAGTGCGACTGGTTCTTGAGAATTGATTCAAATGCAAATAATGAGCACAATCCCTAATACTCCGTTTCGTTCCCTTTCGCGTTCTTCCCCGCAGTTTGTTCGGAGAAGCTGAAGATGCTTCGAAGCGCTTTTCCACCCGGACTACAAGAGCTAAAGCTCGATTTGAGGCGGCTGCGCCAAGTTGTTCCAAAGCATCCGTATCTGTGTGCAGAATCCTTTGTCTGTCCCATGGGGTCTCATAGTTTGAGAGAAGTGCTGCTACGTTGATCTACAGTCTACAGCTCTGGTTTGCTTGAAAAGCCAGAGTGATGGCTGGGTTTAGTCCTGAAGGATCCCAGCTGACAATCTGAACAGTGCTACAACTGAACAATGTTGAAGAATGCAAAGACATGTCTCTATCCATCATGGCTTGGTTTACTTCGGCAGTTGCGACAGGGAAGTGGAGCTGAGAAACGAGGACATCATCGCACTCGCTGCGGGTCTTCCAAGAGATTTAGAGGAGCGTTGTTTTTTCTTGTCGCTGCTTAGCTACGGAAGCAGAGGGCTCTGGTTTGTTGAGCCAATGCAACTTTGAAAGGGTTTTCATGAAGTCTGTTGGATATGTCCGACAGAACCGTGTTTACTTTGATGCATTACGCCTTACGCGCAACACATGCCAGATGAACGGCATGCCAGGATCTTACTTTGCAGCTTGCAGGAAATGAAGAGCTCAATGATGATGGGGTGGAGGCAGCGGAAATTGAAGAAACTATTTGTTCGAAAAGTTTCCCACCCGAGGTCCCGAGGTTGGCATTGGTTTCATGTTTGCACCCAATTTCTTTTCGATAAAGAACACCCGGAGATTTTGTGAAATTTGCGAAGGGACTGTGAAGTGCAAGTGTCGGACAAATCCATCCTGCTGCAGGTCTTCATCAGCAAGCTCCCAAACAAAATGCGAAGCGAGAGCCCCAGTCTCCGTTTGTCATCTGTTGGTCTCTAAGTCTACGAGAGCACGGAATACATATGATTCGTACGCTCCTTAATTGCTCTTAAATTGCTCTTTGATTGCTGGCCTCTTTGGATCTCTTTGGTACATGTCAAAGAGTTCTGTCGACAGTTGAAGATACAGCTGATTCGTTGCACTGAAGGCATGGCATTAGATCTCAAAAAGACGTCTGTCGGCAGAGGGCCCAGACTCTAATACATGTGCCTGTACATTGACAGGGTACATTGTGTTGCGCATACGACTCAGCTGCACAGTCACGTGTCCCAGCACGAATCATATCACGTCCAACATGCCCAACATGATGCAATCCAAGGCAAAGAGCTGATGCAAAGACAGGGAAACTACGAGAGCATGCGCCAATATTTAGCAGAGCAGGTAGGGCGGCAGGCAAACAACACCCAATTGGAATATAGATAGAGATTAGGATATAGATGGAGAATGATGAAGAATAAGAGAGATTGGATTAGAAAATTTATTGTAGTTGAAATTCTTCAGATCGGTGAAGCAGTGAGGCTGCGAAGGCCATACAATGCACCTTCGTCAACATCCTTCCTTCGGCGTTCGCAGCCACAGAATCCGACAGAATCTGCAGTCAGATCCTGTCACCAGCTGTGGCCAATTCAGAGCCTAATACAACCTAGTGATGTCTAACGATTTTCTCGTTCTATGTTATATAAAAACTTCATTTAATAAAGTTTTATCGGCTTCTACAAAAGGCACCATGTGGTTGATGCTGAAAGGGTCCTACGCCGAGGACGAGACATGTCACCTACACGGTGCAAAAAAAGACGCTCCCGCCTCTGACCAACAACGCGTGAGGCGTGAGACGAAGGGACTCTCTGAGCTTTCCTTGCACTTCCCTGCTCAGCGTGGTCACTGTCCATCACTGTCCGCCACTATCTGTCCAGGCTGCAACTGAGTTTGTGCTAAAGGCAACTGGCTCACTGCCAAACCTGTTGGCCAAGAGGGCCGTGACTTAGTGAGAGAAGGGCCCAAAAAGCGTTCAGATTTTTTGGGTTTCCATTCGGTTTCCATGACTTGCCAGAGGTTTGGCCGTGTTTCACTCAGAGAGCTCGTTTCACCTTGTTTCACCTTTGTATCATCGTCCAGTACAAGAAAAATAAGGGAAATAAGCGAGCCTGTACCAATTCTTCCTTGTTTGGTTCATTGCCTGAAAACTACCTTGAAATTTGCAGCGCGTTCTCTTTCATACTCATTGGATTCAATTGCGATCAAGGTGCATTAGGCTTGGTGGAAGGAGCATGACTGCTGAAATCGCGGGTACAGATTCAACCGGGATTGCTGACGCGTGTGTTCGTTGAGAAAATTCGGTTCATCGGATTGACCTACAACATCAGGGTTTGAAACGGTAAGGGAGTGGCTAGATGTGACTAGGCAATGCCCAGCTTGGATTTGACCACTTGTGACATGTGCTACAGCCTGGCGACATTGAACCCAGCGGTTTTGCCTGCTCATATCCACACGTGGCTAGGTCAGTGCTCGCACTAGGTTTTTGAAAGTATTTCGGAGAGTCTTGCGGATCAAGAACCTGAGTGTCCAGCTTTGGCCCCACATCCCGCCATGAAATCCGAGTATCTTGGATTTCTTTTAACCATGAGGTTCACGCTGACGCTTGGTGCTGGGGACCATCCCTATGAATGGGGGGGCATCTTCGAAACACCAGAGAGCAACTACATGTGGACGGCGCAGAAGGTGAATCAAAACTATGCCGATCCGAGCTTGACGATGGTGGCTTGGCCAGTCACAACCTTCACAAAGGAGGCCTTGCATGCTTTGGAGGAACAAGCAGAGGATGCGATGAACATGACTTGCACTGACGTGCAGGCTGGAGGCACCATTGTCCCTGCCAGCAACACTTGCTTCCGCTTGGTCTTCCAACAGATTCTGGTCATGAATGTTTTTCTAGGCTATTCTTTATTATTACATATTATTATCTTTATTTTCGCTCAGGGTGAAACTGCTTTCTTGGCTGGCGTTTGGCATTCTGCACAGGATTGCGTGGCAGTCCCTTTACAACATCGACGCCAGCTCGGCAGCAGGCATTGCCTTCTTCACCAACCACGTGCCCACCGAGTTTGAAGCTACGGCCCACTACCTCAAGGACGATCATGGCGACGACATCGAGCCAAAGGCGACCATCCCGGAGGCAGCGGCAAAAGCGACTGAAGAGACTACTGACTGGGGCCCTCCTATGCTAGGAGCACTGGCTGTGAACTTGGCCACCTTCATTGGAGTGTTTCTGCTATTCCCGCCTGTGAAGAAATTGTCAGCGAGGCCTCTCTTTGGTGCCATGCTTTTTGCCTTCGCAGCCGGTGCTTTGTTGGCCTGCGCCTTCTTCTTGCTCCTCTTTGAAGCCACTCACCTCGTGGCAGTGGGGTGGAGTGCTGAGGTTGATGTGCTTTGGCGCTGGGGGACCATGATCTTGGCCGGCCTGGTCTTGCCACCTGTCGCGGAGACGATTTGCAGTATCATCATGCTGGCGGTCAAGGGTGGGTCTGCGGCCTCCCCCTCTGGTGAGGAGTCTTCTGTTGAGGCGGGAAAGGCAGAGACAGAGGATCCAGTCGCCAAGTTTAGGGCCACAGCTCGGCTTGTAGGAGCAGTTGTCATTGGAGACTTCTTCCACAACCTTTGTGACGGTTTTTTCATTGGCGCAGCCTTCAAAGGCTGCGGAAACTCCTTTGGCTGGAGCGTGATTGCCGGCACCATTCTGCATGAACTACCCCAGGAGGTAGCTGATTTTGTGATCTTAACGGGCCCAGATGTTGCTTTGGGCATCGCAAAGGCTTGGGCCGCTGGGTTGGCTCGTGCGCTTGGCTGGTGCTTGTGCTTTTGGCTTATACCTGTGTGCAGTGTTGTGCAGTGTTGCATGTTTGATCCTTCAATGTATTACAATGAATCCTTAACGTACTTCATGCCCAAAAGATGTAGGGAATCGAAGTTATCGAAGAAACACATGTTTTCAGATTCAAGACGCCAAATCCAAAATCCTGGAAGATCCTTGAACATCCTTGAAGGCTTTGGCTGCAAATTTCATCAGTGGTACCAGCGTGCTCATCGGAACTGCCATAGTGCTTTCTGCACAAGTTGATGACGCTACCGTTGGTTTGATCCTAGCCTTTGGCGGCGGTGTGTACCTGCACCTGGGTGCCACAGATTGCCTGCCCAAACTGTATGACCCCAAGCTGGGCTTCGGGCAGCGTCTGGCAGCTTTTGCGGCTTTTGTGCTGGGAGCCATTGTGATCGGCTTGATACTGATTGGCCACGAGCACTGCGTCCCTGAAGGAAGCGAGGGTCATGGAGGTCATGGTGGGGGACACGGTGACGCACATGGTGGTGGTCATTGAGGGGTAAAATTGCCACCGCCGGGCTGGGCATTGAGGGGTATTCGCAAGGCCCTGCTGGGCATTGAGGGGTAGCATTTCGTCCTGAGTCCTGTGGAGCAGGCTCTTCCACCATTTTAATTTTTTTTTGCAGTGGGAAGCTATATGGAGATGGATCGAATAGACCCATACTGGCCCATACTTGTACAGGCGGCCCTTAGCTTTCATATCCTTTTCTTCGTGATATGCAAGCGCAAGGGCAACGTAGACCCTTTACAATTGGTTATCTACCGCAGTTGTGAAGTCTTCCCTCAGCTGAACTGATACCGTTCCAAATCAGCGTGCTGGCCTTCAAAAGTAAAAGTTAGCAACGCAGGTGACTCACTGGGAATGGTTACACAAGGCTCAAGGACTGTGGAACCCCAAGTTCCAGCCAAGAATCTGAAACGAGTGTCTTAATGATGCCACATAATATTTTGTTTTGTTGCGAACCATGCCCACTCTCTCTCTTGGCCGAAAGCTGCTTCAGATGTACAACAGCTTGCGATGGATGAAAAAGTTCTAGCTGGTCGTCATGCAGACTGATGGGTTCTCGTTGCATCCACTGTGATCACTATGTCGCAAGCCCCGCAGACCACGACAGTTGTGACTGCATGGGGGACAAGGGCTGCAGGGCATGCTCAGGTTTGGGAGTGGTTTGCACGTGGTTTGTATGATGCATGGCAAGGGGAGACACGTGGCACTTAGATGCCAGTTGGATATGTGCTACACAGGTCCTCAGCTTTCCCATCTTTGGACATGGATCCCAGGGGTAGCATGTAGAAACATCTAGAAGCATAGGAACCTTTGCTTGTAGAAGCATGTATATGTAGTATATGTCCGTTGTTTATGTTTGTTTGTGGAAGGTCAGCAAACTTGTTGCTGCCTTTTTGGCTCAGCGTTCTATAAAGATATGTTAAAGTCAAGATTCTGACAAATGCAAAGACATTTACAGCATTTTACAGCTGCTGTGCTGCAAAAAAAAGGTATCCAAGGGGAGCGTGCGTCACGGCTTTGCACTTCGAACCTCAGAACATGCAACCACCTAGGAGCAACAAGCTGCCAGATTGGCTTACGACCATTCTGAA